TTCGCTCATTTTCGCTTTTTGTTCGGTTTTTTCAAGAGTTTTCCAGGTTTTTGTCAATTTTTCTTCCAGATACATCGGAGAATTTGAAAAAAAAAGTGAAAACGAGCGAAAAAATTTTAAAAGTTTGAATTCGCGCGCTTTTACTCACCGGGCGGCCTAGAAAAAACCTCGTTCCTAAGGGCTTTCAGCGTATTTTTCGATGCTTTTTTCTCAATGAAGGAATTTTTTTTGAATTTTTTCATTATTTTTATGGTAATCTACATGCTTTACTGCACATTTTGATGCAATAAAAAATTTCACAGTACACCACCTTTAAGTTCATGAGATGAGAAACCGTTTGATGTTGTGTAGTTGATACATTAATTTTTAAGTCTAACTTTTTTGATGAATGGTTTTTTGTTTATGGATTTATTCTCCAAAACGATAAGAAAAAAAAGCGATCTTGTTTCCGAAACACGTACATACAAAAGTAAACTCTAGGAGTTTGACCATCATACTTTGGCTGCATTTAATTCCTAGCTTATCTGGAAGCCGAGATATAGCTCATATAAGTTAGAGACGCAGACAACGAAACACACTAACTGTCTGCGTCTCTCCTAAACTTCCAGTGATCGTACCTCGACTCCCAGGAAAGGAATTGATTTTTGTCAGAAATTTTTGAAATTTTAAAACGAATCTTAAATAACAAATTGAATGAAAGTTTTCAAACTTTGAGAAATCGAAAAGTTTTTATGATTTCAGATTCACGAAAGAAGTTGGCCGTCCACCAGACTTCCAATATCTTCTTCTGGGTGACTACGTGGATCGTGCAAGTAAATCACTGGAAGTGATCGTTTGGCTGTTTTGTATGAAGATTCTTCATCCACAAAAAGTACACTTGCTTCGTGGAAATCATGAAGTTCGTCGTGTCAATGCTGTGTATGGATTCAAAGAAGAAATGATTAGAAAGAGGAATGAGAACTTGTGGAAAGTTTTTAATGATGTGAGTAGTGGAAATAAAAGATTGAGGATTCTACAAATCGGAAGAGACTAAAAATTCTGGAATTCTAGAAATCTGAAAGCCTAGAAAAACTCGAAAAAAAATTCAAAATTTTTAGAATTTTGAGGAACACTCAGGAATTCTAAACGAAAGAGAAAAAAGAAAAATTAAACTAGGAATTCCAAAAATTCAAAAACACAGAGCCCAAAAAAGTTGAAACCTAGAATTTTCGAAAAAAAAAAGTCGTAGTTTAAAAATTGCAAACATTCCAAATATGAAAACATGGAAATCTCAAAATCTTGAAGGTGGTGTGCGGTAAAAATTTTTATTGCTTTATTTTGTGCAGAATTCCATGTAGATTCCCATAAAAACAAAGAAAAAATCCAAAAAAAATTCCTTCATTGAGAAAAACGACATCGAAAAATCAAAGTGGGAACCGGTGGCCTAGCGGCCAGGTGTGAGTTTTCTAGGCCAACTTCCGGTAAAAGCGCGCGAAATTCGATTTTTATTGATTTTCAGTGTTTTCTCAGATTTTTGTTAGGTTTTTTCATACACCTGGGAGGAAATTAACAAAAACATTT